GTGTAGCTAACGTTTTAGCATGCACTATATCACCCACTAATATTAGCTGCAGCAGCTAAGAATTAGCTGTACAGCTAACTATTTTTCTCCGTGCAGTCGTGCTTCATTCTCCAGAGCACGTTTGGTCCGTTTTTGTATCTTTTCCGTTTTTTCTGCAGCGCCGGTATGGATAAGGCCAGGCGCCAGTGTCTGGGAGTGCCTGGAGTCCCCGCCAATCCTTTACTTTTATCTGTTCTTTTCTCCTCCAATTACTGACACGTCCACGCCTTGGTCGGCGAGTGTATGTGCCAGGGTGTCCGATGGGCCCCGCACTACGGGACACTCTGTACAAGGATCGTGTATATCGTCTACGCACATTTCAGACGGTCGCGCGCGGGTGTTGCTCACGCTGGCCGTCTTCCACACACGCTTGCGCCCTTCGCGCCGCTCCGTGATGCTATCTTTGGGGGAGGGGGCCGTGTGTAGTAAAACCTCGGCAGTATAATCTCGGTCCAGGCAGGCGGGACTTATCTCCTTGCACTTACCTCGCGGGCAGGAGGGCCGCGGGCTTGGCGCCGAGCGCGGCGGGGTCCACGACGCCCCCCACGGGGAGGGTGGCGCAGCTGCAAACGCCCGTGGCGCCCGAGGTACAGCTGCATGGGCGCGCCCACCCTGGCCGTCGTGCTCCAGGCGAGCAGGCATTCAAGCCGGCCAATATGTACTGCAGCTTTTCCTGGCGCGCTGCTGCTCTGCTGCGGCTATTTCGGCGAGTTTTCTCCAGCAGCAGCAGCGCCGACGAAACAGTTTGGTGTGTGCTGCTCGCGGAAGAGAAGGCAAAGTGGGGTCTGGCGGCGCCGGCCCATTGTTCCATGCATGCGATGACTACATCGTGGCCCCGGCCGGAGCGGCGGCGGGGCGCGGGGCGGGACGCGGCATTTGGCCCTCCTGCGCGAGGCTCTGCTTGGTCTGTGCGGGGCCCTCGGGTGGGGCTGCGCCGGGCTGCACCGGGCTGCGCTCCGCAGGGGGGGAGCAGCGATTAGCATTCTCGCCTCCTCCTCCCCCCCCCCCCCCCCCCCCTCCCCCCCCCCCCCCCCTCCTCTCTCCCCTTCCCTTCCTGGAATCCACTCCTGGAAGCGTTGCACAGGGCGGCGCGCGCAATGGGACCTCATCTTACTGGAGCCCTGCCTGCCCTGCGGCGCCACGTAACTCACGGCCTGCTCCAGGGCCTGCAGGGCCCCCAGGGCGCCGCTGCTGCGGCCGGCCCGGGCCGCGCATGTTGACCGCGGTCATGGTCGGCCTTATCTCGCAGCAGGCAGGTCCCGGTTCCGCCTGCCCCGGAGCGACTCGGGCAGGCAGACCAGGTATTTTAAGTGCCGGCACAAGTCATCGCTACTTTCGCCAGCTGTCCTCCCATCCCATAGGGCTTATCTCTTGATATTTCTCCGGGGCCGGCCACGCCCTTTCCCGCCACGCCCCGCCACGCCACGACCCAATCCGGTGACAATCTGCTTGATAGCATGTTGACCCCTCCTCTGCCCCCCTTTTTGCCCCCTTCACCTCTACCCCACTCCTCTTGCCCCCCTGCCTGCGGTAGGTCGCAAGGCGCGCGCTCGCGGACCTGCGGTCTCCTGGTCCAATCAGCGACGTGATACTTTGATTTTATTATTGGACGGAAAGCCTTGACGAAGGTCGTTTGTTCGGCCGTGCGGGAAGTTTGTCTCGGCATGTCATTAAACTTTTTATAAAACTCCGCTGCTGAAGGAAATATAGCGTATCCGTCGTATCTTCCGCTAGAGTTTGCAATCAAAGTTCCTCCATAAAAGTACTGGTTTCGATACGGCATCGCGGTGGGGACCGCTCCCGCATGTAAAATAAATCTGGAGCTGGGCTCTGAATCCCTGTCGTTTTGATGCTGTTGCAGCTCCAAGATGAACGGCGTCAACGGCATGAACGGGCATAACAACGAGCTCAACGGGCACGGCGAGCTCGCGAACCAGAAGGGCTGCTGGACCATCGGCCTCATCAACAGCAAGTTCCGCTACCTCACCGCCGAGACCTTCGGCTTCAAGATCAACGCCAACGGCGCCTCCCTCAAGAAGAAGCAGGTCGGTGTCCAGGGCGGGACTGTCCCGCGGCGGTAGCTCGCGAGAGTGTAAAGTTTTGTGATTGTAATGTGGCTGACTTTTGGCAGGTGTGGACGTTGGAGCCGGCTGCCGGCGGCGACTCTGTCATCTACCTGCGCTCGCACCTCGACAAGTACCTGGCCGTCGACTCGTTCGGCAACGTGACGTGCGAGTCGGACGAGAAGGACGCGGGCTCCCGCTTCCAGATCAGCGTCGCCGACGACAGCTCTGGCCGCTGGGCGCTGCGCAACGTCGTGCGGGGCTACTTCCTGGGCGCCTCCGCCGACAAGCTGACCTGCACCGCCAAGGCCCCCGGCGAGAACGAGTTCTGGCTCGTGCACCTGGCCGCCCGCCCGCAGGTAATGTCCCCCAGATAAGGTACATAGAAAACAAAAGTTTTCGGCGTGGCGTTACGTACCGGATGTATCAGGGGCCGTCCCCAAAGTACGTTCGTCATTCGCCGTCTGACAAACTGCCAAGTTCAGCTCTCTTACCGCCTGGTGGGTAGGCAACACCTCGCCTGCAGTGCGTGCGTGTATTGCGGGATGGCCTGCCTTGAGTCTCGCAGGCGCCGAACTGCCGAACTCCCGCACTTTGCCGGATGAATCCGAGGGAAAAGGGACGTACTTACTGGACGACCCCTCAGTTTCAGAGACTACGACTCAGTGTTGCCCTCTCGAGGGTAAGGCGCCATGGCCCCTGTACCTCTAAAGTGTATGGTGTTGTATTCTCTGATAGATCCGGCACGTTCCCCCAAAACAACCATTTGTCAACTTCTCAATATTTCAAGACCATTTCTTTCTGGTCCCTCTTGATTATTCTTCTTTTTATAACCCGCTCTTTTTGGGCCCGGTCCTTCCCTGCGATTGGAGCCGGCCCGGCCGGGGTCGGATTCCTCCTAATGTGGCTGCCGGGCAATCTAGCGGGTCCGGCCGGAGGTGGAATTGGACGCGAGAGGAGCGCGATATAGCTTCATCTGGGATGAGGCCGCTTTGGCTGCCGTGGCCAGCTGGGCACAGCCGCGGCAGCTATGGATGCTGCTGGCCGGCGTCCGAGAGCTAAACCTGATCGGCGGGACGCAGCCCGCAGCAGCAGCAGCAGCAGCAGCAGCAGCAGCAGCAGCTGCAGCAGCATAGGGCATCGCGCACGACGGAACCCGTTTGCCAGAGCGAGGAGGGCAGAGCAGCGCCCGTTATTGGTGTGAATTGCGCGCCGGGGCTCCGGATTGGATTGGGCCGCTCAGCCCCTCGACGCCACCACGGCCCCGCCCGACTGCACCGGCCCTGCCCCGCAGCCCTGCCCGGCCAGGCGCAGCGCGCAGCCACGCCGTTTCCATGCCCTTTGCGCGCCGGCCGGGGCCGCTTGGGAAGTGCCTGACATTCAGGGTGTCACTGTCGCGACTGAAATACCAGGCGGCTCTTGCTCGGCGCACCAGCCCTGTTGTGTGGTGTGCCCCCTTCTGCCTGGCGGGCTGGGGCCCAGGCCCTGCTGGGGCCCCGGGGCCCCCGTTGGGGTAGGGCGGGCGCGCGGTGCGCTGAGTCACCGCCGGCGCACCGGGCAAGAGCGCCGCCTCCCAGGGCGTGCCATCAACGTCACGAAATGAAAAATATCGTCGGGGAACATTTAACTTGATGAAATATGGCGCTGCTCGGTTCCACCTCATTTCGGTGTCCCGCGAGGAGTGCAGTGGGGCGCGGGGCGCGGCGGGGCGCGGCTCTGCGTTGCCCTGAATGGGATTAGATGAGACTACAGAGCACGCGGCCCGTTACGGACAGCACTGGCGGCTGCAGGGGCTGCTCGGAGCAAGAGGAGTATTATTTCATACTTGTCGGACATCAGCGTCGCTGCCACCCCGTGTTTCTGGGCGTCGTCGTCAATTCTTGAAGCCTAAAGCGCGGGGCCGGCCGATACCGCTCGGCTCTGCGGGGTATTTACTTAACTCTTAACGAGGGGTTGGGGCGG